CAGCGCAGCGGCAGGCTGATGGGGGCGGCATTTTTTTAATGAAAATATTTAATTATTTTAATTTTACTTGAATTTTTGTTGGTTGTGACACGGGCGGCAATATAGCTGCCTAGGGTACCAGCAATTCATCTTAACGTGGCCCTGGTCATTTCCGGTGAAAAGGACAAGTCACAGAGAACAATTGAATACGTCAATCCTAATTTATGTCGTATTCTGACATACGAAATGTCGTTTTTTTATCTAAAAAAAATTAAAAAGTTATACGGGTGAGCTATTTTTGGGACGCACCCAGTATAAGCTCAGTAATTTTAGGATTTAATTTAGTTCACCCTGTGATAATGGTCAGTGATACATCTGACCAAAATGTGTAAAATTTAAAAATTAAAAAAAAGTCAACGTCAGTCGAAGAAGATATTTTAAGTATTTCACAGTCATACATTTATTTATGCATAAACAACGCTTATTTGCAAAATCGCTACTTTAAAAATCATCTTATTTTATTTTTGTGTGTTTTGACGGTTTTTCATCGAATTTCGTATTCTCTTTATAAAATAAAAATAAAATCTTCAGAAATTTTACCATAAACTAAAATACATATTTAAATGAAGGCAGCCAGACTGCATAAATCTCACTTTTCCAAAAATAAATAAAAAAAAACAGAAACGAATTCAGCCCTTGGGGAATATTGAGCGTTGATAGGGAATGAAAAGGGTAGCTGCCAATAAAAATGCAAAAAGCTAGTAGCTTTACAAGAAGATACACAGAACAAAATGTATTGTAAACAGAAAGTGATATATTGAGGGGCGTAATAGAAAAAGAAACTAGCTAGGTATACTCTGTTTTTTTTCTCAGGTAAGATTTCGACAGACGATGACAGAAGAAAAGCAGATGACGTCCCATACCAATCTATTTATTTTACTAAAAAAAGTTTCTAATAATTTTTAATTTATCTATGGATGGGTTTAAATATAAATCCGTCATGCGTCGTGTCTTGTTGGTTTTAACCAGTTTTATTGGTTTATTTAAAAAATGACAGATCGTATTTCAATTTTATTGGTTTGACGGAACGATGAACGACAAACGGACGCCGATGCATATGAACTCGCCTTTAGATTTTTGTCATTTTTGACGCTTGTCAGAGTCTTGCCAAATTATAGGATATAATTTTGTGTCAACTTTTGTTAAATACCCTGCGTTTTGGAAGATGATGCATTTTGATTCGTATTATTACGTGTGTTTTGTGTCTTTTGAAGTCAAGTGGAGGAAAAATCGAGTGAAAATTAACTGGTTAATATTCGCTGCCCAGGCAGAAAGTCTTATACACCAATGAAGTTGCCATCGATAAAGTTTGTATACCATTTCGTCGTAGATAAGTGCATCTCGTATATGGTAGAACGATCAAACAAAACACATACTAAAAACTGGAGTAGCTGTAAAATATCGACATCACACGATAGGTAAATAATGGATTTTAGTACTGCAGAAAAATAATGTCAAAAGGTACTGGTTAAAAAAATTAAGATTAAAGTTAATTAATCAACCTTTAAGGTATAAAATTTGGTAGGTGTTATTATTAATAAAATAGTTTGTTTTATTTACCTATGTTGTTTTATTTATTCCTGTGGAATATTACAAATTTGTATTTGTACATAAGTTATATTGATAAATATAATCATAAATGCGGGTAGTTTCATAAAGCTTGAAAGTAAATAATAGTTCTTTTTTATATTTTTTTTGGTATGTAGTGTCTTGTTCTTGTTTGTTTTGTATTAACACATACTGTTTTTATTAAATAAAATAACTCGATTACATTTTTTCAGTTTTATACACTTTTTTTCACAATATTTTGAAGTAATCACTTGTCATCTTGTCAATCAAATTTTAAATGATTTCCTGCTATGCGTTCCAGTTGTACCAACTTATTTCTTTGTAAAATAAAATAAACTACTTTGAAATTAAAATGACAGACACATCTATCACTGTCAAGGATCTTCTCGTTGGACAGACTATATGTATTTTCGAAATATATTATTTTATTTTATATTTGAATAAACCATACGATTTTAAGTGATTTATTAAAAAGCCTAGATATACAGGGTGTTTCAAAAAAACATGTGTCGTCTCTCGCGGGGAGATTCCTCATGTAAAAATAAAGTTAATTAGGGTACCTTGTTTTGTAGCTAAGTGTAGGTTAGAGTCTTATTTTTTTTCGATTTATTATAATTTTCTTCAAAGTGCTTTAAACTTGTAAGATGTCGAAGCCTTATATACAGTATGTCCCCGAATTGTCTTTACAAGAGGAGAAACTTTTTTATTATTGATATTTTGAGCAAAATGCATTCTTTATAAAAATTTTTGCTTGTTCTAAAATTGTTAATACCGTTTCTACTTTTCAAAATTTCTATACAGTTTTAGAGAAAATTAGGAAAAACATGAAAATATGGTTGAATTTTTACCAAGTCCTAAACATCAAAACGCGTTTCTATGGTAATATAGCTTCGTTTTCATTCTTTGATAGATTGTTATTCATAAAATTTTAATTAACATAATATTTTTTGTTGTTTTAAAATGTTAAAGAAGCACAAAATTTATTTAATTCTAATAATATAATAACCATCTATGCCATCTATCAAAGAATTAAATCGAATTGATATTATCATAGCGTTTTGATTTAACGTAACTTGGTAAAAATTCAACCATATTTTCATGTTTTTCTTAATTTTCTCTAAAACGGTATGGAAAATTGAAAAAGTATAAACGGGGTTAACCATTTTAGAACAAGCAAAAAATTTTATGAAGAATGCATTTTTCCCAAAATGTCTATATAAAAAAGTTTTTCCTTTTGTAAAAACAATCCGGGGACATACTGTATAAAAAAATAACTTTAATAGTAACATATTTGTGTGTCAACATTTTTCAAATAAAATATGGAGTAAAATCGATATTGAATTGAATTAAATAGTTCAACAGAAAGGGTTTTAATTTTAATGCAGATCACTTAGTAAGTAGTAATACCAAAGGTAATACACATAATTTCAATAATTAAGTTTTGAACTAAATACAGCCAGCAATAAAGTAGGTCTCAAAATGGTTTTAGCAAAAACTAAGGTAATATATTTAAAAAAACTTAAAAAATAAAAAAATAATTAATTATTATTTATTTAAAAAAAAATTATTATCTTTTTTTATTATTTTCTTTTAAATTTTTTAAAGGTAACTTATTTTGATTCCAAAAATACTTGGGACACCCTGTATATATTTTAGACAGCTACTACCCAGCTCGGGATCTCTACCACCAGAAATAAACAGAACCAAGTTAGCATGGAGTGCTTATGGAAGAAACTCAATCGTATTTAAATCTAGAATGCCACTCTATCTAAAGAAGAAAACATTCGACCAATGTGTACTACCAGCCATGACCTTTCAGTTGAATGTTTGGCTGAATCTAAAACATGGTAAGGTCAACTAGTATCTGACACAGATGATCTCAGGATATGGTTGCTTCCGAGCATATCTTCATCGTTTTAAACTCGATGAGTTCCCGTACTGGCCAGGAGTTCCTGAAGACGCGGAGCACGTGTTCTTTGTGTGCCCACGTTTCAACTTAATGCGTAATCATCTGGAGATTGTCCTCGAACAGGCAATTCAACCAGAGACACTAATTGATGCGATGCTTTCTTCGAAGACATCCTGGAACGCGACCAATACTTTCGCAACGAAAGTGCTTCAACACCTGCGTTCGATAAAGAGGAAACGAGCCAACAACAAGAACGGTTAAAGGAACAGAAGCATTGACTTCAATTAATGGAAGGAAGAGCCAATAGCTAGATCCTCCCCCTGCGAAGTAATATCTAACGGCGATTTCCGCGGGGACTGCAGAGGCAAGAGGAGGTTTTTAGTCGGTATTGAAACCGACTAAAAACTGAGTCCGACATACCAGGCCAATCATCTGGCTCTGAGATACGCAAATGTATTTTCCTATCTCTATAAAAAAAACCATGACCTCTACATGCGAAACCTGGACACTTAAAACGGTCATTATATGGAAACTGCAGGCCGCACAACGCTCAATGGAACGAAATATAGAGGGACCGCAAAAGAATAGAGTGGATACGACAAAAGAATAGAGTGGATACGACAAAAGGCCCAGGTAATAGATGTCATCCACAGAATCAAATCCCTCAAATGGCAATGGGCAGGACACCTGGCAAGAAGGACGGACAACAGATGGACCACAAAAACTACAGCATGGTATCCACAAGGAATAGAAGAATACCAGAAGAAGAGACCTAGAAGAATACCAAAGCTGAGATGGGATCATGATATTAGGAAGGTAATTAGCAGAGATAATTTGGACCCGCATAGCCAACACTCGGTCCAACTAAAAAGAGAGTATCTAAATATGTAACGGAGGCTACCTAACCTAACCATGATTGGAAATGGTTGAATAAGCTGAATATGGCGATGATTAGTTTTTTTTTTAAATAAAACTGCTTTAAACATTTTAAAATATTCAATGGGTAAAAAATTATTTTGAAACAATTTCTTTTCAATTCAATTTTATTTCTAAAATAAGTAAAGTAAAAAATATTGCATGCAAAAATATAGAAATGTCTATAAAAGACGAAAAATATATTTTTAAGAATATTGAAGACATTTCTCTAATAGGCCATAGATAAAGGTAATGATGCGCATGTAAAAGCAAAAGTTAGATCAAAATTCGATAAAACAATAGAAACGATGTTCGTCTATCTTTGTTATATTATTATTGCTTATGTTTATTAATTTCAGTTAGATTTCAAGTTTGTGATTTACAATTTATTTTAAATTTTCTCTTGTCAACAAAATCTAATTAGAAGCAGTTTTTGTAAAATTATAGTTAAAACAGAAAAACTCAAAATATTTATATATTACGCGTTAATATTTCAGTTTTATATCATAACATGCATTTTAAATTAACAATTTTGTACACTCTAGTAAAATATGTTTACCAAACTTACCCCCATGAACTGGCTTGATAATTGGCCCCTCCTCAGCCATATTACAATTAGCGGTGTTGTTTATTTAAAAAAAAGTGTCGATTCGACCACGAATTTCCCGTTGATCTTCGCACCGAAGATGATCTACTACCAAACCGGTTATTTCGCGACTTTTTTCTAAGCAAACTCTATCCCGACAATTTTCCTCAGAATTTTCCGATGACCGTACACGTTAGTCATAAGGCCGTCGCGTTTCTGATATAAGGGCGAATCAATAAGAGCCGGCGCGTGCGCGAGGACGGGGTGACGTCACGTAGAGCGTGGGGTAGTTTGTTTTACGAGGGTGTATCGGAAAATTGTGTAGCATAAAAAAGTACCTTTAAAATGTTGTTAAAACGGTTAACTTTTGATTGAGGTCCAGGAGACTTACATGAGTCCTATTTAGAAAAAAAAATCTTAAAACATGAATTTACGTACACATTACTCTGATATCAAGGTTTATGATTTGAAAAGGGTAAAACTAAACCATGTATTGATCTCAGAACTTCCAATATTAAAAGGTTAGTTTTTCACCTTTACTTATAAAAGGTATGTTTATATTTCTATGTTGCTACAGAAAAAAATTAATAAAAAATATATGGGTGTGCCATTTAAAATATTGTTAATTTGAATTTCTTTTAACTAATTCTATAAAATATGTTTGTAGTTAAGTTGTATTTCTTAACTAATTCATAAATTCATATTCATGTTTATAAAAGTCCTCTACATATTTCAAGAAAGATGGAATACATCTTCAAAAGCGGTACTGGTAGTTTTCGGCACACTAAAATTAGTATTAATACCAGAAAAACTATAGTACTGGTTTTAGGTATACCGGGTGCGTCTCAAAAGTGGCTCACCCTTATAACTTTTTTATTTTTTCAGATAAAAAAATGAGATTTGGTATGTTAGTAAATGACATAAATTAGGATTGATTGACATATACAATTGTTTTCGGTCACTTCCTGTTTCACCGGAAATGACGATTGATTTTTAAATGGCACCCTCGATTTTTTTACTTTATTCGATAGAAAATATCACTCTGGATTGAATGACATATCATATGTAAACTTTTGACATATTCGCTTAAAAAAAATTGTACTTTAAATTTCAATCTAGAGTGCCATGGCTATGTTAAAAACACTAATTTTTAATCAAAAACTCTTGGAAAAATAGATTTGATCGTTTAATGTTTTTAGTGTCTTGTCCTGGCCGGTTAAAAGGTGCCCAAATCGTATTTTTAATCATATCTCAATTTTTTCAAATGGAACGAGGGTGGAACATTAGCATATTTGGAAAAAGCATTTTTTACGAATAATTTGATACCACACACTTAGTATTTCAAGTCAAATTATCGTTATGAACCGCACGTTACAATTTCAAATAAACCATATGCGAAAATGTCAAAAGTTGACATATGATATGTCATTCTATTCAGAGTGTCATTTTCTATGGAATAAAGTAAAAAAAATACTGAGGGTGCCATTTAAAAATCAAAAGTTGTAGTCATTTCCGGTGAAACCGGAAGTGACCGAAAACAATTGAATATGCCAATCAATCCTAATTTATGTCATATAATAAAATACCAAATATCGTTGTTTTATCTGAAAAAATAAAAAAGTTATAGGGGGTGAACCACTTTTGAGACGCACCCGGTATAATATTATTTAAAAAACTAACTAGAAATATAATTTAAATAAGAATCTAAAAACAAATATAAAGTGATTCGTTTGTTCCAACCCAAACCAAACAAAACTAAACTATTCTACACAACAGTTCAATAAATTGAATAATAATAATAAATGAATTCTCAAAATGAATGAAAAAGAACTTTACAATTTTTGTTTTTTTTCACAAAATTACAAGTTTCTTCAAAATTATTGTTTCAAACTGTACAGGGTGATACTACTTAACTTCACCTGGACTATACAGGGAGGCGCACCTCATTCGCCTCGGTTGATTATACGAAAACGGAAAGATGTAGAAACAAAATAGTTTATGGGTATATATGTGGGAAGGCAATGTGCATAATTTAAAATTATTTTGAAATGTCCAGGGTATGTCAGAACTAAGATCCACACCAAAGTTATATTTTTTCTTATGGAACACCCGGTATTTTATTTCTTATTTGGATCCTTGGGCACAAAATTAAAATAAGGCATTTATTATAAGGGTTAAATATGTTTACAAGCTTTGGTTTTTGAGATATTTAAAGATATTCTTTAAATATGCATTCTGTAATAAAAAAATGTCAACACCCTGTACATTGCTTTTTAGAATTAATTCTTGTGCTGACTTTTGAGGCAGAGAAATAAACTTTACTGAGCAATTTGATTGCTTCGTTTAATGTATACAGGGGTATCAACAATCTCTGGTCTATTTTAAATATTTATTTTACATAAAAACTTGCTTGGTGCTGTAATTTTAGATATAGCACCCTATATTTTTTAATATAAATCGAAGCAGATTCAAATGCTCTTTCAAACTATATTAAGGTTTCCTATACCTATCTAGCGCAGATTTTAAGTAAAAAGTACATTTTCAATAAAATGGCAACCAAGAGGGCTGATGTCATGGAAATTTTCTAGTGACAGTTTTAATCTTTTTTTTTGGTGACAAGTAACTATTTTCAAAATCGCAATTAGTTTATGGACTTTATCAAAAGACTTTATTTAAATTTATAACAGTTTACTTTTATTTAATTCACCTACAACACTTTAATAAATAATATTTATTAGATATCTATTTATTATTCTAGTAGTAATTCTTTGAATTATTTTACAATGAATTGTAGATATATGGATTTTCTATGAAAGAGCCAATTACGGCAAATTCATTTTTTTCACTTCCAACGACAGGTTTCTGCTTAATAGGTTTGGTTTGGTTAAACCACACTACCAGCTCTGCGAAATAGGACAAGTTGTTTTTTAAAGGAATGCTTATCAGGAAGATTCCTATTTGGATATATTTTAACATAATCTCTTGAGGTCAAGAAGCAATTCTCCGCACAAAATAAAATCACTAGTGTCAAAGCCATTCGTTCCGCCAGCAGATACTGCTTTATTTGTTTTGATAAAATAATGAATACTTACTTATTAAATTATTGTAGGTAAATTTAAGTAAACTGTTAGATAAATCAAAATAATAATGTCCTTAAACCACCCTTAAACTAATGCATAACTAATGTCGGTTTTGAAAATATAGTTACTGTCACTAGAAAATTGCCATGACGACACCGGCCATCGATTGCCATTTTATTGAAAAACTTTTTATACACAATCTGAGCTAGATAGGTAGAGGAAACCCTAATATAGTTTGAAAGAGCAGTTAAATCTGCTTCGATTTAATTTAAAAAATACAGGGTGTTGCATTTGAAATAACAAAGTTTTTATATAAAATAAATATTTATGTTACAAATTTAAGGAAGCAATAAATTTTGTCAGGAAAGTTTATTTCTCTACCTCTAAACTCAGCACAAGAATTAATTCTGAAAAGTAATGTACAGGGTGTTGATAATCTCTTGTAATATAGCATGCATATTTAAATATCTTTAAATATCTCAAAAACCCAAAATTTTATACATATTTAACACTTTACATATTTAACACATAATAAATACATTTTTTCGGCTCAAAAATCCAAAAATGAAATAAAATACCGGGTGTTCCACAAAAAAATGTAATTTTGGTGTGGATCTTAGTTCTGGAACAGCCTGTATATTTCAAAATAATTTTAAATTGTGCACATTGCCTCCCCACATACACTCACAAAATATTTTGTTTCTAGATCTTTCTATTTTCGTATAATCAACCGAGGCATGTGAGGTGCGCTGTTTGTTATTTTAAGGCGTTTTTGTTTTAATTAAAATGTATATAAATTTTTGAGTTTATATTGAAACCAAGAAAAATACGAGAAAATATTCCAATAAAAATACGAAATATTATTATAAACAAAATATTCCATTAATCCAGATTTCTGACTAATTCAGCGGTAGCTGTTCCGATATATGTCCGGATTATCGAGGTTCCACTCTACTTCTAAAGCCAATCGTTTAAAAAGGGATAAACACAATACTCCAAATGTGAATGTGTTATGTTGACAAACATGCGCTGCGCTATTTCATTGCGTCAATGCTCAATTAGGAGACCCGACTATGATGCAACGTTGCTTATTCTTATGCACAAACACACGCGGAAAACAAACAACCGGCAACACTGCAATAATTTAAATTAGGGAAGGATAAAACGAATTTATTATACAAGGTGTTGAGTATAATAATGGTAATAATAATAATGGTGCGTTAAAATAAATTAATTAATATTAAGTTTACATCAAAATTACAACAATATACACGATATTTTTTCCGTTTCTTCGGTAATAATCTGATGATGGAAGTTGGATGGTGTTTCTTTTTTAATAACCGGCCAATTCGGCGAAGGTGGAGTCCATCTCGTCAGCCAAGGACTTGTATCTGTCTTTGTTGATACCAAGTTCGTCTAAAAAGAAAATAAATAAACAGATTATTTTTTTTTTAGTTTGAAGATATGATTTATTAACAAAACATTTTTTTTAAATATTATTTGACATTTTAATGGATGTATTTTTCAGCGTTATCAGTTATTTCAACAAAAATTATAAGTGGAAAAATTAAAAAATAGTTCTATCTACAGTATGTCCCCGGAATGTCTTTACAAGAGGAAAAACTATTTTATTATTGATATTTTGAGAAAAATGCGTTCTTTGTAAAAAAAAGTTTTGCTTGTTCTAAAATGGTTAATACCGTTTATACTTTTCCCACCGTTTAAGACAAAATTAAAAAAAAAACATGAAAATATGGTTGAATTTTTTAAGTAATAAAGATCAAAGATCAAGATGACAAGAATAGAAAATTTCTAGGTCCTAAAAATTTAAAAGCGTTTCTATGGTAATATAATTTCGATTTCATTCTTTGATAGATGGATGTTATTAATTTTAATCTTAGATTTTACTTAACGTCATATATTTTACTGTCGTTAAAGTATCACATTTTCCGATAAGTATTATCACCCTTTCCGTAGCATTGAACTAAATAAATTTTGTTCTTCTTTAACATTTTAAAACAGCAAAAAATATGACTTTAATTAAAATTTTGTCAATAAAAATCTATCAAAGAATGAAAACGAAATTATATCACCACAGATACGCGTTTTTGATTTATAGGATATAGAAAATATTCAACCATATTTTCATGTTTTTTTTTAAATTTTCTCTAAAACCATATGGATATTTGGAAAAGTATAAACGGGATTAACCATTTTAGAATAAACAAAATTTTTATAAACAATGTATTTTTCTGAAAATGTCAATAATTAAAAAGTTTTTCCTCTTGTAAACACAATCCGGGGATATACCGGGTGCGTCTCAAAAGTGGCTCAGTCCTATAACTTTTTTATTTTCTCAGATAAAAAAACGAGATTTGGTATGTTAATATATGACATAATTTAGGATTCATTGACGTATTCAGTAGTTTTTTGTCACTTCCTGTTTCACCGGAAATGACTACAGTTTTTGATTTTTAAATGGCACCCTCGGTATTTTTTTACTTTATTCGATAGAAAATGACATTCTGAATAGAATGACATATCATATGTCAACTTTTGACATTCCCGCTTAATAAAAAATCGTATTTTAAAATTTAATCTAGAGTGCCATGGCTATGTTAAAAACACTAATTCTTAATGAAAGGGCCTTGGAAAAATAGATTTGATCGTCTAATGTTTTTAGTGTCTTATCCTGGCCAGTTAGGAAATGCTGAAATGGTATTTTTAATCATATCTCATTTTTTTCAAATAGAACGATGGTGGCTCATTAGCATATTTGGAAAAAGCATTTTTTAAGAATAATTTGATACCACACACTTGGTATTTCAACTCAAATTTTCGTTACGAATCGCAAGTTATAATTTCAAATAAATCATATGCGAAAATGTCAAAAGTTGACATATGATATTGCATTCTATGCAAAGTGTTATTTTCTATCGAATAAAGTAAAAAAATACCGAGGGTGCCATTTAAAAATCAAAAGTTGTAGTCATTTTCGGTGAAACAGGAAGTGACCGAAAACAATTGAATACGTCAATCAATCCTAATTTATGTCATATACAAACATACCAAATCAGGTTATTTTAATTGAAAAAATAAAAAAGTTACAGGGGTGGGCCACTTTTGAGACGCACGCGGTATTGTATAATTATGTTAGCCATGGATAACTTTTTATTTAAAATAGTTCGTTACATTTAAAGACAAAAAAAGATATTAAAACACTTATGACAATATGACCGAAAAATAAGGCGTCAGCGATGGCTATAAAATGAAGATCGCTCTCATTTTATATGTTAAATTATATTGTGATATAATCGATCATTTCCAAGACAACTGAACGCCGGTTTTTTTATCATACGGTATATTAATAGTTAGACAAGTTAGCGTTCAAATACTGATTTTGAACTGATTTTAATGTCTGATTCTAATCTTTTCCGCATTCATCAGTATTTTATGTAAAAAAGCACAAAATGAGAAGTACCACGAAATAAAAGTACACTATTTGTTATACCGGGTGTTTTTCAAAAGTGGCTCATCCCCATAACTTTTTAATTTTTTAGATAAAAAACTAGAAATTTGGTATGTTAGGATACGACATTAGTAGTCACTTCCTGTTTCAGCGGAAATAACTACAACTTTCGATCTTTAAATAGTACCTCGGTATTTTTACCTTAGATGATAGAAAATGTCATTCTAAATAGAATGACATATCATATGTAAAACTTTTGAAATTTTCAATTAAAAAAAATAACATTTTAAGTAAAATATTGTAGTAAAAAATACAGAGAAGACCAGGCTACTAGTAACATAGCAAAATGCCGGACGAATTCGTACTCGAGCGTCACTGCCGGCTAGTCGGCTGGTCAGGCAGTACGCAGTTGCAGTTGTGCTTGGACGGGTCGGTCGTGACAGACTAGAAATATGACGCGAGGAGTGCCGTGTATTTATTATTTTGATTTTAAGTGTTTACCTTCACTTAAGGTAACATTTAAAATAAAAATACTTAAATATTTATTATTTGAGTGTGTTTACAAGCCAAAACTAAAAATAAATAAATTCTCTAAACCCAAAAAAAACTATAATATTACTCTAAATAAAAAAAAGTTATAACAAGTGTTCAAAAAGACCACCTTCTTGTGCTAGACAGAAGCCTAGGCGGTCGTAAAATCCCCGTCTGACATATTAGGGCTAATAGTTTGGAAAGCCTCTCGTATTTTTACTTGAAGCTCATCCATATTATTAGCCCTATTATGACCATACACTTTGGATTTTACATAACACCACAAAAAGAAATCATTGGGAGAAAGATCTGGTGATCTAGCGGGCCACAAAATAGTTCCATATCCACGAATTAAACGGTTGGGAAAAGTATTATTCAAATATTCTTGAACAATACGAGCATTGTGGGCAGGCAACCACCTCAGCAATTTGATTACTTGAAAACGTGGGATTTTGATCCGCTGTAGCACAAACGAATACTTGCTTTAACTCTTGCACATCAGACTTTTTATGTTTTTGTGGGGACACGCACCCATGTATTTCAAAATTATTAATAACTCTTGATATAGTATATAAAGATGGAATTGGCCTGTTTACAAAAGTTTGTGGAAAAATTGTTTGTATATCCCGATAACACCTATTTTGGAAATACCATTTTCCAATTTGAATTTTCTCACGAACTTCATAAACATCCATTATTTTACTTAAAAAATAAATTTTACACGAGAACTGTCGCGAGAATCTACGTATTCGTTTTGGCTATTAAAACACGCATAAATACAAATTCTGAAACATTCTTATCACATATCGACCTATTTTTATTTTATCGCATTTTTTCGCCTGCTTTTTATCCGGCGGACGGGTATACGCTAATCCGTCTGGTTCTGCCTATGTTACTACTACGGTGGTCCGGTCTGTATATGAGCGAAATTAACGGAACATGTCAATCAATTATCATTTATGGCATATGCTAACATACCAAAACTCTTTTTTTCTCTCCAAAAATAAAAAACTTATAGGAGTGAGCAACTTTTGAAACACACCCGGTACAATTATTACTTTTTTTTAATCTGTAAAATTTGTTACTGTCAAATTAATTATTACTAAAATAAAAAATATTACTGAATCTTAAAGTAGGGTTAGAAATGCAATTATTTAATTAAAACAACTTATACACATCTGAAAAAGGTCAATCTCTACAACAAGACAAGACAAACTTAAATAAATAAACATTTTAAACAAAATTGGCGTAAAAAAACGTACAAAACTAAAAATATTCTTAGACATTTACAAGAATCAATCTTGTGGAATGTAAATTTTTTATCAGAAAATCTCGAGCGCGGTCTTGAATATTACACTACCTTATTTCTAGCAAGAATATTGTCAGATTGAAAAATTTCCAGTAAGCACTTTCGAAAAGTTTGAAGCTTTTCAAGTTTCTTCTCGGGGACGAATTGATTTTCTCTGATATTTTTTCCACGTAAATTTAATATTAAACTAGTGTAACAAGTTTTAATATTTTAGTAAAATTTGATTTTATTTTTCACAATTTCATAATGCATGATTCGCATTTTATCTATTCAAGTTAAATAAATAATAATTAAAATTCGTTATCATTGAAACTGGGTAATTTATAACAAACTCGTTTTTCTAAATTATTTTTTTATACAGAGTATAAGTAAATATATGCAAAATATTTGAGAGGTGTAATTTTTTGATATGCGTTATTTTTTGTTTATAAAACATATTATACAGGGTGGCCCATCGTTCCGCAAGGCATAAAGGCCAGGGTAATTTTTTTTTCAGAAAATTCAAAAACACGTCAATTTTGTTTGTTGTCGTTGACACGTCAAACTTTTGCCCCACAAATGATTGCAAAATCTTCAACCCTCTAAGCGGGGGTGTCATCCCTCAATTTTTTTCAAATGGGAAGGGGGGTCAAGTTGTACCGCAATGAAAAGGGCTTTCTATTCCCTATACTTTCCCGCTTCGTTTTTGAAAATCGGTCGAGTCATTGAGAAAATATGAAGGATGAAATTTGAAAAGTTTATTTAAACGTTTATCAGAGTAAATGATAAGGATAAATTCCTTCGACCAATTTGCTGTTTTTTCTTATTATTTCTAGATGTTTACGCATTTTTTCACTTGCCACAAGGTTGAACAATCAGGTGCGGTAGTTGCTAGATAGCTGAAGTTCTTCTCAATATCGTTAAACTTTTTAACAATTATGGTGTACTCACTTGCAGAAAAAGTGGAAATAATCGAACTTTATTTTAAAAATAATTAATATGGCAATCGAGTTTTTGTTCGATCAACACCTTTATGGCAAAATTGTTCACAAGTTAGTAGCAAAATTTTGCGAAACTGGTTCTGTTATGAATAAAAAGAGGCAGAGGGAAAATCCTATAGTAAATAAA